CTGTCCATATATTGTCATTATGAGACAGTCACTACAGATTTTGTTTTTGTGGTGAGAACCCACATCAGGTACTGACATGAACACACACATACTTAAACCAATGGGGCTGCATTCCTGATGTATTAGCACATTTACAAACTGACAGGTCTGAATATACAGGTCCAATTCACACATACAAACACAGAGCTTTTATTTCAACACAGCTCAAAAAATATCACCTATGCAGCCTCTGTTAGAATGACTGCTCTCTTTCTGCCTGTCTGTCCTACTATAACCTACACTAATCTGAGATGCCATATTTATTTGAAACAAAAGATCTGGCCATATGTGTATGTTCGTTTTAATCCACTCGATAAATAATAAATGTCTTCTGCAAAACTCGCTGCCAAAGACCTGACTGAAAACAGGTAATCAGTACACTGTCACTGTAAACTGTGTGAATTTGCCTGTTTGAGTTTGTGTGGTTGGCCACAAGTGGATGATCTAACCTGCTAGACATGTATACACTCGATATGGATAGTAATTATGACTACCGCTGTATTTACCCATTATTTTTCGGCTCAGAATTACACACCACCCAGCAGGCACAGAATTACCTCACAACTCCATGCAAATCCATTTTTACCAAAGGACCGTTTGACAGAAAATGTTGTGTCTACCCCTTATCATCAAAACAATTTTTGGTCCCACTTTATATTAAGTGGCCCTAATACCTGTGAACTTACATGGTTACTAGATATGTACTTAGTATGTAACTACAGTGTAAATACACATTGGTACATAGTATTTACAACTGTAATATTTGTGTAACTACACATATGTAACAACCCACGGAAAGGTATGTGTAAGTACAAATGTGTAACAGGACATTGGTAACAACACTTTTTCCACTACAGTAAGTACACGTGTAACAGGCATTATGTAACTACATTTTGTAACAACAATATGTATTCACACAAGTTGTTCCACTTCCACACGCAGTCTTCCATACTGTAGTTACCAGTTAAGAACACACTGAAACCATGATGATTCCTATGTGTATACCATGTATTTACTATATGACCGGCAGGGCTTATGTTGAATTACAGCTAAAGTTTTCCCTTGTGGTACCAGTGTACATACATGGTAACTCCACAAAACTCTGCACTTGATACAATGTGTTAAACTGTCATAACTTACATGTATTATGCAAAACCCAAACCTCTGTGCAACTGTACTAACAGTGTACTTACATGGTAACTCCTCAGGAACGGTCCACTTAATATAAAGTGTAAAATGGTCATAACTTACTGTGTATTATGCAAAACCCAAACCTCTGTGCAACTGTACTAACAGTGTACTAACATGGTAACTCCTCAGGAACTGTCCACTTAATATAAAGTGTAAAATGGTCATAACTTACTGTGTATTATGCAAAACCCAAACATCTGTGCAACTGTACCAACAGTGTACTTACATGGTAACTCCTCAGGAACTGTCCACTTAATATAAAGTGTAAAATGGTCATAACTTACTGTGTATTATGCAAAACCCAAACCTCTGTGCAACACTGTATTAACAGTGTACTTACATGGTAACTCCTCAGGAACTGTCCACTTAATATAAAGTGTAAAATGGTCATAACTTACTGTGTATTATGCAAAACCCATACCTCTGTGCAACACTGTACTAACATGGTAACTCCCCGGGAACTGTCCACTTAATATAAAGTGTAAAATGGTCATAACTTACTGTGTATTATGCAAAACCCAAACCTCTGTGCAACACTGTATTAACAGTGTAACTTACTTACATGGTAACTCCTCAGGAACTGTCCACTTAATATAAAGTGTAAAACGGTCATAACAGAGACCATCTCAGCAAACCCAAACCTCTCATAGTTTTATTAACAATAGCATTAAAATATATTTTGAGCCACTAATCCTACTCATACCCATTCCTTAAAACTACGTAGGCTACACTTATTAAGAAAAAAAAAAAACATAACAGACAGACAAGTAACATTAACATTATAAATTTCACAATAATTTGTTTATTGCGAAAATGTCAAAACCGGTACCAAAAGTCGTTCACATTATGATGCGTTGCAGCCCTCTCTGGCAGTATTATAATAGTTGTGTATGAGGTACAGATCAGAATATAAATTATTATTCCATGAAAATGTTAATCCGGTTTCGGTTCGCTCTGTGAAGGCGCGCGCGCTTCTCCATTTCAAATGTACTACACCGACTGAAATACGGCATGTCGCAATCTGTGACGAAGCGGGCGAGAGCCAATGAGCGCTTGATATCACGGCCGTAAAACATGTCGTAACGCTTCTTGAAGGCGCATTTTTTGAATTTGAATTCATCACCAGCGCGCCTGAGCGCGGGATTTGACGTTGGCGGTCGCTGCTGAGAAATGGAGATGAAGATCATAAAGGGCTGAATTTGGATCTGTTTCTTGCAAACAACGTATGGATTCTAAAGATTTGGATTACATCAGGCTAATACAATTGATGTTTTTTTGTGAATTTATGTTGTGTTTTATTGGAGAAAACGCTTTTTGTGTCTCACGGTAAATAAACTAAATACTACAAAATGGTTAAACGATTAAACAAGGTATTTTTAAGGTTTTAAAGCGTAGGCTATTCTTGTTTATTGTTTACAGAACACTGTAATTTACTGTAAAGGCAAATAGGTCACCACAATGTCAAATCAAAAAATCTAAAATAAAGAGTAAATCTTTAAAAGTGCTATGCCGTAATATCCCAGAATCAAAGCATAACTATCACATTTATATTTCAGAGTTTAACTTACTATCCACTACGTAACCTTGTGTTTTGCATTTACTGTGGTACACAACAATGACCCTAACAATTACACTTTATATTAAGTGGACAGTTCCTGAGGAGTTACCATGTTAGTACACTGTTAATGCAGTGTTGCACAGAGGTTTGGGTTTTGCATAATACACAGTAAGTTATGACCATTTTACACTTTATATTAAGTGGACAGTTCCTGAGGAGTTACCATGTTAGTACACTGTTAATGCAGTGTTGCACAGAGGTATGGGTTTTGCATAATACACAGTAAGTTATGACCATTTTACATTTTATATTAAGTGGACAGTTCCCGAGGAGTTACCATGTTAGTACACTGTTAGTACAGTTGCACAGAGGTTTGGGTTTTGCATAATACACAGTAAGTTATGACCATTTTACACTTTATATTAAGTGGACAGTTCCCGAGGAGTTACCATGTTAGTACACTGTTAGTACAGTTGCACAGAGGTTTGGGTTTTGCATAATACACAGTAAGTTATGACCATTTTACACTTTATATTAAGTGGACAGTTCCTGAGGAGTTACCATGTTAGTACACTGTTACTACAGTTGCACAGAGGTTTGGGTTTTGCATAATACACTGTAAGTTATGACCATTTTACACTTTATATTAAGTGGACAGTTCCTGAGGAGTTACCATGTAAGTACACTGTTAATACAGTGTTGCACAGAGGTTTGGGTTTTGCATAATACATGTAAGTTATGACCGTTTTACACTTTATATTAGGACAGTTCCTGAGGAGTTACCATGTAAGTACACTGTTAGTACAGTTGCACAGAGGTTTGGGTTTTGCATAATACATGTAAGTTATGACCATTTTACACTTTATATTAAGTGGACAGTTCCTGAGGAGTTACCATGTAAGTACACTGTTAGTACAGTTAGTACAGAGGTTAGTACCTCTGTGCAGAGGTTTGGGTTTTGCATAATACATGTAAGTTATGACAGTTTAACACATTGTATCAAGTGCAGAGTTCCTGAGGAGTTACCATGTATGTACACTGGTACCACAAGGGAAAACTTTAGCTGTAATTCAACATAAGTCCTGCCGGTCATCATGGTTTCAGTGTGTTCTTAACTGGTAACTACAGTATGGAAGACTGCGTGTGGAAGTGGAACAACTTGTGTGAATACATATTGTTGTTACAAAATGTAGTTACATAATGCCTGTTACACGTGTACTTACTGTAGTGGAAAAAGTGTTGTTACCAATGTCCTGTTACACATTTGTACTTACACATACCTTTCCGTGGGTTGTTACATATGTGTAGTTACACAAATATTACAGTTGTAAATACTATGTACCAATGTGTATTTACACTGTAGTTACATACTAAGTACATATCTAGTAACCATGTAAGTTCACAGGTATTAGGGCCACTTAATATAAAGTGGGACCCAATTTTTTTTGTAAAAAACAAACGATGAAAACATGACCTGCATGCATTCATTCAGTTTGCATCACTGTTCTGTTCAATACGTTAAGAGTAATGTGCACTGAATTACCGTTCTTGTTCTCAGTCTTTATTGCTGTCCTTTGTTAAAGATACACACGATGTGTGGAACAGAATAGGATTTCAGGAGTTTTAAGGTGTGCCCAACACTTAGAGAGCGTCTTCAAACATTCGATATATGTCTCTCAAAAACAGGCAGGTGAATTCATAAAAAATAAACATTTTGAGCAAAAAGCTAAGAAAATATGCTTCAAGATCAGAGCCGTTATTACATCGCTAGTGAGAAATGTCTTGTAGCTTTTAAACTACTGAACTATTTTACTGATAAAATCTTCAGAGCAGCGCTGACAACACGTTTCTGTGCAAGTGTGTGTCCGTACAGTATGTGTGTGTGTTTGAGTGAGAGAAAAGAGAGTATGTGCTTTCTGTACATAATAAAACGTAATTTTGTGGCAAAAAAACATGGAAATAATTTGTCGATTTTATCCTATTGTTTACTATATTTATTTGCTTGGTCAATGTTTTTTTTTTTTTTTTTTTTTTTTACTGTTTTAGGCTGTAAAGACCTTTGAAATAACTGAAATCATTTGGTGAACTGATATGGACATGTAATGCGGTCAAGACCTGCCTGGAACTACTTTAGCCGTGCTATTCCCTGAAAATAATTTCACACCTTAGAACATTCATCATATTAGAGCATTCAACAGCCCGTAGTCTTTACCTATGTGAGTGTAACGCTTCTTACGGAGATGCTGCTCGTGCCGCCCATGTCTGCCCAAGTGGCCAGTGAAGATCCTGTTGATCCTTCGGCTCCAGGAACTATGGCTCCCGACATCTTTAACCCCGCAACGAGCTGATGACATCTTCTCCATCGTGGCTCTGTCCAGCCGTCCAGTTACAGACAGCTGAGACAACCACTGAAACTCTCTGAAAGACAGGAGACCACACCAATAAACAGCCGCACTTCACTAGATCAGTGACCCGAGTTCTCTGGACCATCATTAAACTGCAGTTATGATGTTTCTGATAGCTGGTATGATTTTATACCAGGTTAAGATGATGAACTGACACCCACAGTCTTATACAGTTTTGGTGAATGACCAAGTTTGCTAGTGAACAAAACCATGTCAGCTTTAGCTTCATATTCCTATGTCTTGAAATACGAAGGACAATAACAAACGTAGCTCAACTAGAGAAGATCATGGTGCTAACAAGGTCATAGGTTTTACCTGATGGCAGACTTGACTTCAGCATTATGATGAGTCTCCTCCTTTTGCAGGTATCCGTATCGCTCAAGAAAACCCTGCAGACACACACATCATGTGTCATATGTCATTATGACTCCCATCAGCCCCGTGGCAGCTCGAATTCACCTCGGAGATCACTAAAACCAGATATATCGGGACACCACTTATGGAAAATGGCAAATTGCTGGCACTGTAAACAAAGCATATTTTGGAATCAAGAAGTACCATAGACCATACCGTAGTAGCAGACACAACAGTAGCCATTACCCACACGAGCATCGTTTGAGATGCATTTGTTGACCTCTGCATGTAAAAGGACGATCTTTGGGAAGATGTAGGCCTCCGTGCCTCTGATGCTTTAGAAGATGCCCTTCACTTTATTGTGAATCCCCTAGACGAGAATACTGAATGTTCATCCAGAAAGGGATAAAAGAAGCTGCCTCGAAATCATTTGAGTTCAACTTCCTTACTTGAGTGAAAGTACAGATACTACTGGTCAAATATTACCCTGTTACAAGTAAAAGTTTCTAAAGACCGATTTTTACTTAAGTAAAAGTACAGAAGTACTCGTTTTTAAAAGTACTTAAGTATCAAAAGTAAAAAGTAAATGTCAATGCATTGTTTTATTATTGTTGTATGTAATACTTACAGTCCCTTATGCCTCTGAAGCAGCCTATAAATACACCTACCAGTTAGAAGTATCTGTGGATTTAAGAGCTTTAAGAATGTTATAAACCCTATAGAAATAGGTTGAACTGAACTGACAAAGAAGACAGCCATAATCATCTTCATTTTTTTTATTTAACACTCCTATCACCCCAACAAAAGAAGTACACATCTATGTTTATCCACACATGCACATTTGAATCAAGTGGTCTGTAAAAACCCAACCTGCTTTAAACCCCAGTACACAACCACGGCTGTATAACTGCCCAACAGCAACACTGCTTTAACAACAGCACAACAGAAAGACCTGTTTGCCATGGATGCGCGCACTGCGCCGAGGATGTTGCCATCATTTGATTAGTGTTCAAAGAAAATGATGGGAAATCGCTGAACTTCACGACACATGACCCTATAGTGATTACTGATAGGCTGTCTGTCACCTGCAGAAAACAATCATGTTTTAGAGATGAAAAAAAAAATCATCCCCTGACTGACGTTACTACTTTCTACTCAATGACCTTGACAGAAATAGTGGAGTAAAAAGTACGATATTTGTCTTTCAAAAGTAAAGTAAAACTAAGTTAAAGTAAAAAGTTTCCAGAAAACAAAAAAATACTCAAGTAAAGTACAGATGCTCAAAAAGTGTAAATGTACTTCGTTACTGTCCACTGAATGCATCTCATTCTAAACAAGGGTTAGAACAGAAACCAAAGCCTAAAAACAAAAAGCCTCAGTTTTCAAATGTGTGTATGAGTATGAGGGGAAATGTCTCAGTCAGGTATTGGCATGCAAACTGCATATTTGCTTTTAGTGTAGGTGTGTAGTGCACTTCTGAACCACCCGGAGGTCACAGGTAGGATGAGACTGAAGCGGCTGGAATTTGTTGGCAGATCTGCAGTGAAGCAACACATGATCAGCGTAGTGGAAATAGCTTTATTGAGAAACCAAGAACTCAACAGTTGCAGCTTTTCTCCAAAACACAGAATCATTGTTCATACTTTTAACAAGTCTGCCAGTGTATAGTGAGGATAGGAAACTCGCAAACTAAAAAGTATGATAGAACCTCAAATCATTATATTATTGTTTTCATATTTATAATTTTGTCTTGATGTATTGATTGTCACAAATCTTTTCAGCTAGGTATCATTTAATTTCTTTTATTTCTGGAGACACAAGTCGTTGAACATGCGGGGAAATGTAATTACAGTGAACTCACAATGAAAATCCTCCCTTGGGCTGTGCCAATTATTCTGACCTCAAAGCACAATCATTTTCCACAGCTGAAAGCAGGACAACACATGTCTCCAACATGCTCGTATGCATTTGTATAACTAAAAACATGACTTTGGATTTAATTTACTTGAAGCTCATACACTGTAAAAAAAAAAAAAAAAAAAAATTGTTGAGCTAACTTAAAAAAATAAGGCAACTTTTTAAGATAACTCAATTAATTCACTTCCGGTAAAATCAACTTAAATACTTTTGTTCATCTAATGAGTGCCAGGTAATCTTTTGAACTTAAAACTTCTTGTCAAGACAAAAAAAAAAAAAAAAAAATGTTCAGCCAACTTGAAAAAATAAGGCTTTTATCACATTCAACTTTTTAAGTTAGCTCAACTAATTAGCTCCAGTTAAAGTCAACTTAAAAACCATTGCTCGTGAAATGAGTAGCAGGAAGCCTTTTGAACTTGAAACTTCTTTTCAAGGCAACTGAACTATGCAAGCAGCCACAATCCTTGTTTTTTCATCTCCATGTTTAAAGTTAACAACACAACATGAACATCATTTGCCTTTTAAACTAGAGGGACACAGTTTACCCATTACAACCGGGCAATTGAGTAGCAAAAATTGCAATGAGAAGCACATACAGCTCAACACCTAAGCACACAAATCTCAAACATGGTGATGATCAACAACTGTAATTCAGTAAAAATATGACCTCTAAAACACAGGACAGCTAAATAACAGCGACAACAACAACAGCAGCGGCATAAATCAAGCCGGTTAATGCAAAGCAATAATCATTTTTATATAATAGTTACCACATATTTTTTCAAGCTGCAATGCATTCTGGGAACTAGCACAACATCGTTGAATGGAAATTTGTTTGTTCAGATAACTCAATTTGTATAGTTAGGACAACATTTGGACAAGTTTTGGACAAATACTTGAGAATCTAAGTAAGGTCAAACTACTTTGAAAAAAGCTAATTAGTTGAGCTAACTTAAATAGGTTGCCTTATTTTTTCAAGTTGCCTCAAATACTTTTGTTCATCCAATGAGTACCAGGAAATATTTTGAACTTAAAACTTTGTGTCAAGACAACTAAAATAACAAGCTCAGTTGATTTTAACTGGAGAGAATTAGTTGAGTTAACCGAATGCGATCGGTTGCCTTATTTTTTAAGTTAGCTCAACTTTATTTATTTTTTCAGTCTATATGAGGTTTATTTCATTAGCTGTGTATTTTTAAAAAAATAAAAAAAATAACCATAGTCCATATTTAAGCGTATCTATTATTAATTATTTTGAGATAAGATACGAACAAGAAACCTGGTGTCCAGCAGATCTTACCTGAGCCTGATCAGCGGTGGAGATTGGAGAGCTCACCGCGGTCTGAACGCACATCAGCAAAAACATCTTCATCTGGGCACTCCTCATCTCTAAAGTCACCTCGAGAAAATAGATCCCATCGCGATGAAAGCCGATAGAGAGATGGAGAGTTATTTCTCACTGGCGCGCAGCTGAACGGCTCTGAGAGCAGCGAATAACGAGCGCGCGTTCCGCCTCCAGAGCGCGCGCACGCGCGCGAGGAGACGCGTTTCTTACACGTGAACTCTCATCATGATCTAACCCAGTCTGGGGAAATGTTCAGGTGTGCATGAACCCAGGAGACTACAGGCTGTCACTGAGGCTAAGGGTGGCCCAACAAAGTATTGATAGATGTGTTGCCATACTAACAGTGGTCTCAATCACTTTTGGTTGATTGTAATCCATCCAGAACCTTTCTATCAAAGTTATCTGACATGATCTAGATGGATTTGTTCTGACACAGTTTTACTCTGAGTTCTTGTCATATTTTCTTGCCATTTTCTAAACTATAGCAAATAAACTGTGATAATGTGAGAAATGTTGAAGGTGTCTGAATAAATTTTGGTTTGACTGTATACACACACACACACACACACACACACACACACACACACACACACACACACACACGGTTGCACCCTTATTTACATTAGAAAATCTGTACCATTTTTTTCCAAAGATAATATTAGGGATGTACCAGTAATACCATAATATATCTTTAGAGCGAATGTATGTCTAGCATCCATTTAATTTTAAATATAGCCTAATATTACACATTTCAGAATCAATCTACATTTAGCCCACCTTGGTGAAGTGAATTACAACACATTCTTTTGTACAAATAATAAAGTTTTATACATAGTCTATTTTATTTTTCCTGGTTAATTAATATTTTTGGAACATATATGTTCATCGCATTATAATGAAACCCTTCGGATTTCAATAAAAGTTGTTTAAAGAATAGCTAGCTCTCTCGGCTTATCCTGCATTAATGGGTATAATTAATAACTTATTATATCTTTATGTACCTTAACTCCAACATAAGATGTTTTATCTTTAATTGGACTGCTAGATAATTCAAGTCACTGTCTTTTCTTCAATACAGATAATTAACTTTTTAAATATGCAGGCTATGGATAAACCCGATACTAAATATAATTCATTTAGTCACTCAAGATACCCGTACAGCCCCTGCCATTGTTAAAAGGATCTTCCCAATTTATACATAAGCTTTTGGGAAAATGTTTTGTTTGCAATTAATTTGTCAAATGTTAAAAAGAACGACAAATAAAATAACAAGATATATTTTCTTCATTGATTTGTAGCCAATAGGTCATGAGGATGTAGTGTTTGAGGGTGATAACTCCCTGTGATGAGCTGTGGAAGCACAGGGTTAGTCACCGTTATGTATACAGTGCTTTATACAACAGACAGTGCCAAAGCAGCTTCACAGTGATAAACAGGAACAGTCTTTTTGGATAAGAATGAATACAATTTTGGTTAAGAAACACAAAGATGCGTGTAGATACTTTACTGACATTTTCACCAAAAAATGGAATTTACTGACATAAAAGCCAATATTTTAAATAGACATCAATTTATGCACATTTATATGTAATATATATTTAGGGTGACTTAACATCTGTCCGGGGACTGCAGATGAAAAATAGCCTTCTGGCTAACTCTGGCATATTGGCAGAAATGTTTATTAAAATGCACTGTCCCTGTTGTAATAAAAAAAATAATTATATCCAATCAGTCAAAATAAAGCAAATATGAAAAGGTTCGTTATATACCCCTATTTAGGCTGTACACTTAGGTTAAAGGTGGATAGCAAACCTGGCTAATAAACTTGTTGCTTTTGTTTATTTTAAGGTGTAATTTTTACAGCGTATTTATATATTTAAGTACTGAGTAATATTAAGCAACTACATGTACTTACAATATGGTTATGGTAGGATTAGGGTTTGGTTGAGGGTTAGTTGCATGTAATAAAGCATAATTTACTGTTATTACTATGGTAAGTACATGTAACATGGACACTGTAAAATAAAGTGTTACTGACTTTAGAAATTTTAATGCAATTTAAGGCCATTAGTAACACATTTAAACCTCTTCTGCTGATATTTGGCAGCAGAACATCAAGAAAATAGATTATGCCAATTTTAAACTGAAGCTGCATCTCGTCTATGGCTTGAAAACATTGTCAATTTGTATTGTAATGTTTCATTGCTTCATTTTTATATGAAAGCGATTCAAAGGTGCACTCAGTAGATGTCTCTGGCTCTTAAAGCAGAGACAGGTCTTTGATTAAATATGTAATGATTTACAGTTATGATTAGCAAACAATATATTTTACCCCATTCTGATTTCACAGGCCATTTTAAAACACTGCTATTAGGGAGTGTTTTATAAAAATATTTATGTCCTGTATGTCATATGTGCTTCTCTTAAAAGAAATAACACGGAGATCAAGAATTAAGATCAAAAGGGTGTTTAATATTTTTTGCAAAAAAAAAAAAAAAAAGAAACAAGTAAAAGGGTTGTGTTGATTGATTTTTACAAAACAATAAGCATTTCACAAATCTATCACACACTAAATGCCGGATTCAACAATTCAGGAAAATAAAAGTAACAAAAATAACATTTGGCCCCACCCCCTTCACCTAGAGCAAAATCATCCTTTAAAGCTGATCTGTGGCCAGTTGTGCCTTTCCTTACAGGACTGAAGGTTTAGAAAAGTGGCGGATCAGAGAACAAATTCATCTCGTTCCCTTCACTCGGCCTCCTCCAGCTCCTCGCAGGAGATTCAACATTTATGGGGAAACTGCTCAAACAGTATATGCAGGACGCTCATGCAACAGAAAGGTATGCGGACACAAACCTCTCCCCTAACCCCCCCCCCCCCCCCAATAAACAATGGTCTGGGACCCGCAGAGTCTTCAGTATGGCCGGCCGCGTCTCTCTTCTCTGTGGTCTCCCCTTTAGGATGGAGGAAAACACACGTTAAACAACATGCATGCTGGGTCACGACTGACTGTAGCGCTGAGGGGTTCTCCATACCTTCCGCCAGCTTTGTATCCGCCTCCGCCGTAGCCTCCGCGGTCTCCACCCCGGAAACCCCCGCCTCGGCCGCCTCTGAACCCGCCACGGTCCCCGCGGTCGCCTCCGTACCCGCCCCGGCCTCCGCGCTCTGGGAAGAGTGGGCGGCAGCATGAACAATCATTTCTGCTCGCCATTCACAAGCCATTTCAGGAGAGTTGGGGCAAATCACATCCTCTATTGGTCAAATGTTTTCTTAAACCAAGCGACAACCTTCCCAACTCTCTTGAATCCAACACAAAGTGACTAAACCTGCAGTTCATCGACTGGCCACTAGAGACAGGCTCAATCCCATAGACCCCATGTTAAAATGCTCAACTTTAAAGCAGGAAAAAACATGTTCACAGCCTGGTACAGAAAGTGGTTTTGGTCTATATAGCTATTTTTGCCCTTCATGACGACTGTGAGGGGGGTGAATTGTTTTATAACTCATCCGTTTTAAATTACATTAAGCCTTAACGTTCTGCATAATTAAGGGCGTGGCCTCTTGAGTGACAGGTGGATTGCCGCTGCTGTCACTACTAGCCGTTTGTCTGCTGTCTGTTAGAGTCACGTCACCTCAGCTAATCCGCCTCTGCACACTTTCGGTTATTCTGGGGGTGACGCTTTAGAAACCTACAGGTGACGTCACAGACTGTAAAAAATATGGGTGTAGTGTGTATGCATTAAACTTACCACCTCCATAACTGTCGCCGCCTTCGGGTTTAGGAGTTCCACACTTGTTGCATTCGTATCTTCTGGCAAAGTTCATGTTTCCACAAGAGCTGCAAGGAGAGGTTTATAATGAATGCCATCTGACTACAAATCCCTCGTAAACACAAATGCACAAATGACTGCAGACCTGTTGGGACAAGGCCAGTCTCCTCCCCGGACATCAAACGAGGGACCGCCACCACCAAAGCCACCTCTGCCTCGGAAACCTGTGCGCACAAACAAACAATTATTAGTGGGGGTTTAACAATACACCGTGTCACAATACAAAAATCAACAATATGTAGTGTGTTTAGTTCACTCAAAATGACTACTGTGCTAGAGATTCAACTCTAGTTGTATTCTACATTATATATTGTAGTTTAATGTATAATAATGCAATGGGGAATATTTGTGGGTCCTGATAATGCCAAATGTTACCAGTAAAGAGCGTTACATTATTTTAAATATATCTAGTCAGTGACAGAGTACAAGCATTAGTCTAAAATAATTGTGTTTTCAGCTTCAGAATCATGAATATTGTTATTCTGGTGTCTATATTGTCTCGTGCTTTGGGTATTCAACACCAAGTCCAAGCCTATTAATTTACACCCACAATGTAACACCAAATTTAGCATTTTGATGGAGTATCGCAACATCGTATCGTGAGTTCAGTATCGTTACACCCCTAATAATCAGCATAACCCTCGTTTCAATCCAAACGGGTCTAAAAGCTCAAACTGGTTGTGTGTGATGATGAATGGTGCAGATGTCCACCACTCACCCCCGCGGCCGCCGCCACCACCACCACCTCCGCCACCGCCTCCTCGGCCGCCGCCTCTCTGGGTGAACTCTGCCCTTCTCGTAGCAAACGACACCTTGATGGGTCTTCCCTTAAACTCCTTTCCTGTTTTCCAGGAAAACGAAACCGCATTGTGAGAAGTGATTTAGGGGCTATCAGTCAAAGAGACAGCATGGACGTTTCTTTTACCATCAAACCAATCAATGGCAGCTTTGGCTGAGGGGGGGTCGTCAAAGGAGACTGTGGCTTCACCCTTCAGTCGTCCAGTGGCTTTATCCGTGTACAGATTGATCATGGGGAGGCCAGTCTTCTTATTGAGCTGTTGGAGAGAGTAGATTAAGCAACTGTAAATCAGCATTCATCGTACACACACAAAAAAAAAACGCAACATGTACAAGTGCCAGTGAATTTTACACCGCAAAAAGACACTTAAATATGACATCTGCACGTTCATGAATGGCATGGTTTTGACACTCGCAGCGTTTTCAGCATCTGCCGTCTTACTGTATGAGGGCATGAACTTCATCTGACGTTTGTCACATGCACACACACTCAAAAGGT